TAATAATCATAAACCATGCTGAAGGTAACCTCCTCCACTTCCAGTGAAGTGATAGTTTCTTGCTGCTCCTTCTGAACTGTCCCTTTGAGATCTGGAGTTTCATGTATCCCAGTGGATCTTAAATAATTGGCCAGGGACAAATCAGGCTCTAACTTTGACACTTGAACAGCACTGGGCTCTGGGCCTGCAGAAGTATCCTCCCACAGTCCTTCTTCATCTAGGCTATTCTCAGAGGCTTCCTCAGTGGCAGTCCCATTCTTGTCCCTAGAGTCCTTCCTTTGCTCCTTCTGTGCCACAGGCTCATCCATTACTAAACCAAGTATGAGTTGCCCAAAAGACAAGCCCTTGGTTGCATTTGGTTCCTGTTGTGTGTCCCTGAGCATCTCCTCAGAGGAATCTGTGCTTTGTATCTCACAGGTGAAGCTGCTCATTCCTGTCTCAAAGACCTTGTCTATCCTGGAACCACCATCTTCCTCAGCCTGATGCCCAGCCTGGGGTTTCTTTTCATGTGCAGCTTTTTTCAAGTCCATGATGAAGCTATCACTCTGGGAGTCTGTGGGCTCCATCCATTCCCCACTCTCCCACACATGTGTTTCCTGAACTTCTCTTTGGAAATCTTCTGTGGACTCCACCAGAAATTCATGAATTTTTTCCTCAAGTGAGTCCTCCTGACAGACACTCACCTCTGACTCATGAATTTCTTCAGTAAGAGGTCCCTCTTCAGCAGATATCATGACACTGCCAAGGTCCCCATTAGGGATTTGCAAATCAGCCCTACTGGTTTCTCTTCGCTGTGCCTCTTCCTGGGCATTGACCTCCTCCTGTAGCATCCTGTAGCTCTGATGAAGTTCCTCACTCAGAGGCATCTCTTCCACAAGTGCAGCATGTGGGTGCACAGAGGAGATCAGCCCAGTTGCTCTTTCCTCCATGCTCTCCACAGCTGTGGGGGTTTGTGCCTGTTCTGTGTACATCTTCTCTGTAGCTAGAAAAGGCTCCACAAGCTTCTTCAGATCATATATGATATCAGTCTTATCAGTTTCAGGTGGCAACAGCTGCTCTCTGAAATGCCCTTCTTCCAGGTGAACCTCAGTTTCCTCAGTAAAAACCTGACCTGAGTTTTCTATGCCAGGAGGAGTGACAGTTACATCCAAAGAAGAGCTGCCTGTGTCAGACTCCACTCCTTGCAACATTTGATCATCATTGTGCATTTCCCAGTGTGTGGCATCACCATCATCAATTGTTTCTTCTTTACAAAGATGATCATCACCTTCGATGCCCTGTTCAGTATCAACTGATCTCTCTTGTTCCTTGTGCTGTTCCTTCTGCTGCTCTTCTGTACAGGAGTCATAAAAGCCAAATAGCTCCTTTGTGGGTTTGCTTGCAATGTGGTCCTGCAGGTGGGGCACGCTTGGCTCTTCTACAAGAGGCACATCAGGAGTCATTGCCTCCCAGGCAGGGACATCACTCTTCTCTGTGCAAACATCACTTCCCTCTTGTACCACAGGCGATACAGGAATGAAAAATTGTGAATCCTCACACTCCCTTGCCAGAGCAGACTGCTCAGAGACATGTGTTTGCCCATGCACTTCCATAAATGGTGACTTCAAGATGTCCCAGGACAGAGTATCTGTATGTGGTATCACCTTGCCTCCTTCAGGCTCCAGCTCCTCTGAAAAGTGACCCGAGTCCTTGGCCACTAGTTCATGCCCTTTACTGGATATGGTAGGGTGCAGTTCAGTAGTAACAATTCCAAAGCTGTGTTCTTCAGAGACAGCTTTTCCCTTGTGCTGCCTCACCTCAGAAATACCATCTGTATTCCTGACACTTTCTTCTGTATAACCCATTTCTTGCTTTGCATAAACTTCTGTAATATCCAGCACCATTGTTTCCGCCATCTCACTTTCTGTGAAGTGAGGAGTTTTTTCACAGTCTTCCAACTGCTCACCAGGAGATGGAGACTGTCTTCGGGACCAGGGTAGGTGGGCTTCCTCATCCTTGGGGCATACAATCTGTTCCTCTTCATCCTTCCCAAGTATGCTGAGGCCTTGGGGGTGAACAACGTGGTCCACAGCAGGCTGTTCCTCGCTGCCTCCATCTTTGCTATACAACTGGGGTGCAGTGGGCTGGACTGTCAGCTCAGAGGCACTCTGTGCTGTTCCAGCCACGTTTGTGGCCACTAAACAATACTGTCCAGCATCTGTGACAGAGACCCCTTGAATATGTAAGCGGTACGTGCCATTCTTGCCTTCTTCAAACCTCAGCCTCTCACTAGCAGAGAGGCTCTGGCCATTCAGGGACCAGATCACAGCTGGCGGGGGCTGCCCAGACACAGCACACTCCAACATCACGTCCTCTCCTTCATGGCAATGAATGTGTGCTGGGGCTTCTGCTACAAATTGGGGTGGCTCATTTCCCATATCAAATGAAAACTTGAATTTGTGCTTTATGGTGGGAGCAGCCTGCTCTGGAGGGTGTTGTGTGGTGTCCTTCATCTCTGTGCCTTGCTCTGGCGTTGGAGTGGGGGCAGTGATTTTGATCTCCACAGGCAACGACAGCAAGTGTGAGTCTGGAACTGCACTTGGCAGTCCTTTCTCTGCTGCAAAGGCCAGACCAGCTTCTTTCTCCTCCTCATTCATTTTCTCCTCCTTCTCTTTCTCCCTTTCTTCCTCCTTCACCTTCTTCTCCTCTTCCTCCTCTTCTTTCTTCCTCTCCTCTTCCTTCTTTGCGTACTCATAGGCTGGCATTTGCTGCCTCACATGGAGTGCAGCTGAGGTGCTGACTGTGCCCAGTGGGTTGAAGATCACGCAGGTGACAGTGCCCCCATGCTGTGGGAGTAGGGATGAAAAGGTCAGTGTAGAGCGGCACTCCGTGGTGTGAACGGCAGTGCCCCTGATGCGCCCCACGGGCTTGGCATTGTTGTACCAAGTGACTGTAGGCTGTGGGCGGCCATGGAAGAGGCAGGAGAAAGTGCATCTTTGCCCCTCAACAGCCTCCTGGGGTTTGACCTCCTGGACAAAGAGGGGTGGGCAGGGCTCCAGAAGCCCACCTGGCATCTGCCATCTCTCTCCCATGGCCTGGGGCCTGGAGTACCGCTTCACGATCTGCACCGTGCGGAGCTCCGAGCCATCCATCTTGGCAGCCACCTTAACTGGGCTGGGCTTCCCATGAGGGCCCTCCTGGGGCATGGACATGAGGGATTCCTGCTTCTTTTTCAGTGCTGCCCTCTTTGCCTCCCGCAGCCTCTGCAGCTTCCAACGGATCTCCTCATCCAGCAGCTCCTCAGCATCAGCCACTGTGCCCCTATGCTCCCTACTACGTGCCACCCCTGGGCGGTGAGGCCCCACCAGTGGCAGGCTCTGAAAATGGATGGTTCGTACCCTGCCTCGGGCTGGTGAGAGGTTCCCAAGTGACTGCTTGGCCTCCTGCCCCTTGTCAAAGGGCGAGCCAGTGCAGCGGAGCACCACCCGCAGCCGGTCCTCCCGCCGCTGCTGCAGCAGGCACTCCCAGCTCTGCCGCATCCACTTGGCTTTCTCTGTGAAACCCAAGCCCTGCTGCTGCTCCCCACTGCGTGCCACCAGCAGTGAGGCAGTGGACTCAGCTGAGCCCTCGCTGTTAATGGCAAATACCCTGTAGCTGCCAGCATCGTGCTCCCGCACATCCCACAGCTCCAGGCTGGCACGGTGTGTGTGCTCCTCGCTCTCCGTGCGAATCACCTTACGGCAGTCCTGGAGGACGGGCCGGTTGTTGTGAAACCAGGACATGTGGGGCACCGGGCATGCCACCAGCTTGCACTGGAAGAATGCAGGGTCCCCCTCCAAGACGGACCTACACTTCAGGCCCTGTGTGAAGGTGGGTTTACAGTTCTGGGGGCAAGCCAGCACCGCCGCTGTGCCAGGTCCCTCGAGGTTCACCTTGCTATGCTGCTCTGCAAGAGAAGGAGACTGGGTTACAACATGTCACGCTCTGTCTACCATCTGATTGTAAAAAAGTAACAATATATTGAAATAAAAAATGGGCATGCAATGGATTTCATCACACACCCAGGAAAAAAAAGTAATTCACTCACCATATTTGTTCGAATAAACGCAACGCCTTGCTCTGTTTTAAAGATTGACACGAAAATCGTTCGTTGTCTGTTCTTTCTTCAGACTGTGGAAATTTCTTCTTGAACAAGCAAAAAGGAATTTCAAAATAACACGTTCTTCTGCGTGTATGTTTTTGCTGCCTGGAAAAGCTGTGTGTCTTTGGGTGGCAAAGAAGAAAATCTTACCTGACTTGCAGACAGTAGAATAAACGCCCTTTCTGACCCCTCTGTTTGCAGATTAAATGTTCAAACAATTGACAAAAAATATTTTGAAAGATATCTTTTTAAAAAGTAAGTAACATGAAATGAGAAGGCGTTTATTCGAACTAATACAGCCACTAACTTCACAGTGTTATGCACAGGGAAAAAAGCAAGCAACATGAACCACGTATGCTATCTGCAAGCCAGGGTAAGAGATGTATAATGGTGAATTAATGTATGTAAAAAAAAGTGCAAGGAATCCATGGGAATGTGTAGCTTTCACATAATCTAAACAACAAATGCTCTCTAGTATACTTTATCTATCCATCCAGTAGTGTCCATTGAACTGATTGTTAGGCTGCTAACTTGTTTAAAAGTAATACAAATAAGATTTGTATAACTTCCTTCTGAAGTAAACTATTCCATGCATTCAAAAGGAAATTGAACAAATAAAAGCTCTGTGAACAGCTGCAAAGCATGAAGTAAAAGTTAAGAATATGGTTGCACAATTACAAATTTGAAGTTTTAAATATATTTTAAAACTTAAATAACCTTATAATGCAGGTAACCCTTTGCATATCAACACAAACATGCAACATATTCCAATATGCTTTAAAGTGTCTTTCTTCCCCATCAGACACTTCACATAAGCAGATAAAAGCTTTTTGTAACATTACTAATTACTGGTACTAATTATTCTCATTGGTGATTGTACCTTTCATTTCCATTTCAACCTCTTCCTCTAGCTTCTCATGAACAATTTTTTCAGGAGCTAGAATAAAAAAGACAAAGATTTTTGAGCTATAGTTTCTAAATGTGCCAATCAACACTTTATGTAGTAAAAAACATCCAATCTCGTTTCCAAATATACAGAAATTCACACATACGTACACATAAATGCATGCCAAACAATTCAAACACTTCATAAATTTTGAGAACAGAGTAATCAAATATTTTCAAACTTGTTTGCAATGTACATTTTTCTATAAGGTTTGCTTTCTTTTTTGCTGGGTGGGGGAAAGTTTCTAATGCAACATGCCTTTATCATGCTGTAAATCCCTGAAGAAAACATTCAACAATCCAAAGACTAATGATATGCTTTTTGTTCTTTATCATCTCTCAGGGAATGAATGTACTGAAATGCAATGATGCTATACATGAGGAATTGATACTTAGAAGGAACATGCAGTTGCCAACCTGTCACTTTCAGATGAGTGCTGCACTCGGCTTGTCCTGCAGGATTAACTATTCTGCACTTGTATATACCCTTGTGGTTCTGACCAACTTTCAACAATCTTAAGCTGCACAGAGGCCCATCATGTTTTAAGTGACACAATGCAGATTCCTGAACTATTAGCTGATTGCACAACCAGACTACACAAGGTGTAGGCACACCTTTCATTATACAAAAGAGAAACACATCATCTCCTTCTTTCACAGTAGTTTCTGAAGGCAGAGTTTCAAGAAACTCTGGTGCTTTGGCATCAGTTTCTGTGATGTCTTCACATGGCACAACATCAGGATAGTATACTCTGTTTCTTTGCTTCTCAGTTTCATATGGTCTTTGGGATGTAGATATAAACAAGCTTGAGGTTTTCTTAGAAGAGTCTTGCTTAACTTCAGATGCTTTAAACTGACAATCTTTGGCTGCTTTAAAGCTTTTAGTATCTGATTCAAGAATAATTTTTGTTACTGCTTTGGCTTGTGCTTCTTTTGCTAGGTAAGAATAAAGTTAGGAAAAGGATTAGGTCAGATGTTTTGCAGGAATAAAAAATATCCTTATAATTGGGGGGGGGAACCCCAGTAATTAGTATTGAAAGTATGTTGGGCGTATTAGTGCTAAAACAATGCTATTAAACAGGAGTGACTGCACATTTAAGAGCTCTATTCCTGCTAGGCTAATTCTAGGTATCAGTTAAGCCTATGGGACTTTCATGTGACCAAGACGTGTTCCGCAGTGCCTAATACAAGCACATTTTTGCTTTTAATTTAGAGCCTTAATTTGGAAAGTAGCAGCAGAAGATTATGTAAAGCGTTTTGCACAGCTCTATAGTGAAAAAAGAAATTTCCGTAATTAAGAGCCAAATCAACAGGGTCAATGCCTTTCTCATTATTCATCTTAGTTTTCTGTTCTGTATTCCTTGTAACTCATCAGAAATAGTATCACCTGTCTAGTGTGGTGATAATATATTTTTGAGTCCTTACTAGTGATAGCACTACTAACATCTTACTATGTTGATGTCAGGAAGGGGTGGAAAGAGTCTTACTGAAAAATAAATACTTATATCTTAAGGAGAGTAAAGGGTAGAAGACAATTCAGTATTGCAGTAATACAATATTTGCACCCATTAATCCTTTCAAGGACATTAATTATATTGCCAACTTTGGAATTGAAACCTTGGATCTATTTGAAACAAGTTGGGAGTTTGATATGACCAGGTATCTAATTCAACATTGCTTATCTGGCGTTCTTATCTTCCTTCAACTCCAGCTTCAGGAATTAACAAAATATGAAAATTCCTACAATTCCTGCTTTACATCTCACTGCATATCATGAAGTATATGAGGAATAAAAAGCCTCAGACATCTGTGACTTGACAGGAAGAGGCACAAAGTTACAATATCAACTTCCCAGTACTGCATATTTCACTTATGAATAGAGCTGTAAATGTGAAGGAAAACCCCCAGATTATTATCAATACAGTTTTCTCAATTAACAATAATAAATGAATAAATAATAATAAAGGAAATATGAGTGAGCTCTAGGTAGTTATAATGAAGTTCCAAAAGGTAAGTGATAATGTTAAAAGTCAGATAACCACCTTTGACTGTTAGTATTGCAGAAGTTGTTGTCCCTCCATAGTCATTATAAACAGTACAACTGTACAGTCCTTGATCTGTCAGCTGGGCATTTAGGATTGTGAGCAGAAGAACACTTCCGTTTTGTGATATCTTCAATTTCTCAGACACTTCTACTCTTTTTCCTTCATGGGCCCAAAGAAACTCATAGAAGAATTCATTTTCTAAGGCACATATGAACTGAGCAGTGTCACCACATTTCACAGTTAGGTCTCTGAGTTGCAAGAGAATCTTTGGAGGGACATCTTTCATTTCCTGAGAGGTGGTCATAGAGATCTTGGTGCTCTGAGATGTTTGAGAAAGGACTGTTGTGTGCATGGCTTTTATTTCTTCAACTGATGTAGCCTTCACGGTCAAACTTTTTGATACACTTTCAAAAACCTGTACACCCAATTCCTGTGATGGTTGTTGCATTGATTTAAATTCTTTTTGATAATTTTCAATGTTCTTCTTTGTGAGAGGAGGAACATGAAGTTCTGATATAGCCTGTGACCGGATAGACTCTTTTACATCTTTCCCAGAACTTTGCCTATCTAGGGCTTGCACTGTGTAATTAAGTAACAAAAATAACAGCATTAGTATCTAAAGAAGTTCACTGGACCATGCTCTGAACAAAATCAAACAGCATGGAGGATGAAAATGAATGATGTCCATTTGAAAATTCAGCATGCCGGATGCACTATCTCAACATAGAAATTATCCATTCACATGTATGAATGACAAGCGATGCCTAAGCTAGTCATGCATTTGGTACTCAGTTGATACTTGTCTCTTCCTTCACTAAAGTGGTCCATTTTAGGATTGGAAACTTACTTAAAGGAGGTAATTGTTTTTGTTTTTAAACAAGACAGTGCAAAATACCTCAGTTAATGCTATAAAGATCACTTAATTAGTTTTTTTAAAAATCTGTATGCCTTCATTTAAATTATTCTATTCTTTGACTTCTATTGATATATAAATTTGAAAATTTCCAAATGTTACAGCATAAACAAAAGAAATGAGAGTGACTGGGTTACTGAGGGTAGGTACTACTAACATTAGCTGGGAAAGAAAAGGTGTGAAACAAGGAAATAATTAGTAATAGCACAAAAGTGTGGTATAGAACAAACTGAATCCCTTTGAAGTACAAATGGGGCTTTACCTTCTGCAGTCACTGTAAGTGTAGCTGTACAAGTTGTTTCTCCAGCACTATTTCTTGCCTTGCAAGAGTATTGGCCAGCATGCTCTAAGAAAGCATCTACTATTATCAGTGTAGCTGTGCCTGTAGACTCATCAAAGTGGAAAACTAAGTCTTTTTTTGGCAACATGAGTCGTTGATTATGAAACCATTGGATTTTTGGTTTGGCCCTGCCAGAGACTCTAGCTTGAAATCTGACTGATTCCCCACTGCATACCCTGCAGCTTGAAATAGGCTGGATAAAGGTGGGCCTTTGGCCAATAGACTCCTCCTTAAGTGAAACAGATGAAGAAACATGCCAAGGGGACTCTGATGTAACTTCTTCAACATTTTTAAATCCTGAAAAGAAGCATGCCAACTTTTAATTTCTTACCCTACACTACAATGAATTTTCTCTCTCATTCAAGACTTTTTTTTCTAACTTGCAACTTAACAGCATGAATTATTCTCATTCATCATTTATAAAATCTATTGCAAAAAGAAAACAAAATATTTATGGTTAAATAATATCAAGGACAATATAGAACACCAAATTATCCAGGCAACATTTCTGCTCTAAAACTTTGGTCAATGTTTCATCAAGTTATATGAATGTACACTTTTTCTTTTCAGTTGCTGCACACCTGCTACACATCTGTATTTAGGACATTTTTCAACAGTTTTCAAGTAACTTATTTCGTACAAAAATTCTTACTAGATTGTCTTCACAGTCAAATCAAAGAACGTGTAAGCAAAGAACTTCCATTAGAAAGAAGGCTTTTACTGTCTTTGGTGCATGACAGATTCTAAGACTGGAGAAAATGAAAAGGGAGGGGAGCATGAAACATTGCAAAATTGTGAAATACATTTTGTTGTTCATTACCTATATCTTGGAGACATAAGTGTATGCTGCGGACATTGTAAATGGTAGCAATTAATTGAGTTAAAAGACAACATGACAGACAACGACTCACATATAATTATCAGTGTATATTAAGATGAGTATTGGAATATAACCTAAACAAGACAACTTCTTTAATTGCACAGTGTACCTTCTAACTTCAAGGTAGCAGTGCTTGTCACTTGGCCTACAGAATTACTAGCCACAAAGGTATAGATTCCTTCATCCTCTGGATAAGCTTCAGCAATCTCCAGCTGGTAAGTGTCTTCAAACTGAGTCATTCTAAAAAAACGTGATGGCTTGATCTCCTTCTCTTTGCTGTACCAGGAGACTTTCAGATCTGCTCAAGCAAAAGAAAGAAAGAAAGAAAAATTTACAATATTACACTAGTAAGTAAACACTATTTTTTATATTTATATCTTCCAAAAATCTTAGTCTCAAGTATCTAAGAGATACTTAATCTCAAGTATCTAAGTTTAAATGTGCCTTGTATTACTCTGGTAAAGTATGATGAGTAGAAAGTGGCCTATTGTTGCTTTAAGTTTTGCTTTGTGCATTGGAAACATTTGTATGGAAAACCTGATCCTGGTGCTGATACATTACTGAGTAAAAAATAATTCTTCCTTTCTTCTCTAAATGTAAAAATTTTGAAATATTTTGCTACTCCTAAAACCAGAGAAACTCTCTTTTTTTTAAAATGGGATTTTGCTACAATTGCATGATTAAACAGGCTATAAAATTATTAGCTTTAACTAATCAGGTTAAAAAACTAAAACAGAATATTCTTTTAAGTACAGTACCTTGCCTCTTCTTGGTGCAAATATTATAACTTTTACATATTTCTCAAGGAAGATCCTATGTTTGCACCTTTACAAAATTCCTATATAACATGTTGTATTACTTGTATAGGTTCATGTAGACTTGAGAAAGAACAGGACTGAAGCAGACTTTAGTCTTGCCTCTCCATTTATCATCATACTACATTATAAATCAGATGTTGTAGCACAGATAGTGGGTTATTATTGTCATCAGAAGAAAGAGTGTTTTCAATAGCCAGTTACACAAAGTGTACCATTAAAAACCTGTATTTTCCATCATATGTTACCTAACTAATATAAAAGTTTTTCACAAGTCAAGTGAGAGGTATGCAAATCCATTTGGATACAGTATTCAATAAAGGAAATTTTCAATAGGAAAAATTTCTTCACTGAAAGGGTTTTCAAGAATAGGCTGCCCAGGGAAGTGGTAGAGTCATTGGCAGACTGGGTTAATGATTGGACTTAACAATCCTTGAGGTCTTTTCCAACCTAGATGATTCTGTGGTTCTATGAAGGAAGACCTAGATGAAAGGATCTTTATATTCCATGCTGTAAATGCAGGTTCCACATTCACATACAGTTCTTCTAAAAAAAAGTTACACTAGCATGCATTGAACAGAGTGCGAGCCAGTCCAATATATATTTTCTGAGTTGTAGCAGCACTTCTAAAGCAGAATCCTGTTGTAAAGCCTTTTTTTTTAAATGGAGTTTGTTTCCAAGTGATTGAAATGCATATCATGGCTGGGCTTCGCGAACGAAGATTTGGGAAGGCTCTATCCACATTTGCTACAGGCACGCTGGTGGCTTATGAGGCCAATACGTGACAGACATATCCGATTGCAAAAGGCACAGCAGAAAGACTCCAATCCACTGATTGAAATGCAAATCATACATATTTGCATATACATGTATATTACAAATTTTATGTGGATTTCTATGGAGCTGTCACTCAGGATTATTTTTAAATTTGGAGTTTTATTTATCTTTAAATAATTGTAAATTCTTTGGGGTTTGAACTGGATCTTATTCTGCAGTTTATTATGTGAATACTTTATTATGAGTTATACTCAAGGCCATTTACTGAAGTGAAGAAAGGTAGTTTTATTTGGCCTTGTGTTAACTTGGAAAAAATATTTTAATTGTAGAATGACATTCTATATAACTAAAACTAGAAAACTTACTTAAGTAAAATCTACACTTAAAGAGGCAATGAGTAAACACCCTTTTATGGTAGGAAAAATAAAGCAATCACAGTTTAGTGTTTGCAGAGTGATATGAAATATTTAGGAATATTAGGGTAAAGGTTGAATCACAGTTTCAGTCTGTTTGTTTAGTTAATTGATGTGATGGTGTGTGTCATGGTATGCTCATCATATTCATTTAACAAGGTAATGCTTTTCCACAAAGAAACTCTACATTTTACTCACTGACACAGCTTTCCAACATCAGTTAGCATTTGAAACACTGAGAAGTTTCCAAAGACAAGTTTTGTGAAAGAAATCTTCATTTTAGAAATGCTTAGTATGTTTATGACAGCTTAAAACTTCCATGCTTGATGCAGTCTTTGACTTGCTTAACTGAAAGTTAAACTGAAAGTCAGTAACCTTTTGATGTGTGTGTATATCAAACAACTGTACTTCTAGGGGAAGACTGATCCAAGCACATATATTGGTGAATTTTTTTCTGAGTTCAAGATTAAAAATTCTGAGAGATGAAAAGATGTACGGGGTTTAATAAACTCACCTGTCCCTGTAACTCTGCACTGAAAACAAGCAGAATGTCCCTCAGATGTAACAGTATCACGTAGTGGTATTATGACAGCAGGCGGATACACTGGCATTTCTAGTTCAGGAGAAACAACTTCTGGGACTAAAGAACAAGAAAAAGAAGTAATTTTTAAAGATGAAGAACAGCTATCTCATTTCACAAGCAGTGGTATTTATGAGCATGGGAAACTCACTTTCCACTGAAAGTGAAGCTGAAGTTGTTGCAACTCCATAGTCATTTTTTGCTTCACAGGTGTACACTGCTGCATCTTCAGGGAAGGTTTCAATCAGCAGTAGAGTATATTCTTGGGCATCATGAAGAAATTTGCACTTGAAACCTGGAGAAAGCTGTTGATCATCTTTGTACCAGGAAATTTTGGGCTGGGGTTTGCCAGATATCATAGCACAGAAGCGGGCAGGTTTGCCAGACTCCACGGTAGTTGGCTCTAGCTCCTGAATAATCTGGGGTGGCTCTGGAGCTGAAAATTGGGCGGAAGGAAGGTGGAGAGGAAGGGGAGAAAGAAGAAGAAGGAAAAATCTCATTATTGATATTTATTATTGATTCAAAACTATTTGCTAGGAATTAATTAAAAACAAAACAAAACAAAACAAACAGACATACAAAAAACCACCAAAACGGCTATTATTCCTAATCAAGTGTACCCATCAAAAATTCGCTCTTTTTCTTGATACGAGGGGGATGATCTAGCAGTAAGTGCCTTAACATAATTAGCTATGTTGGTGCGTTTTCTGGCAAAATATGTCCAAGAATCACTAGGTTGATCTCTCTGGGAAGGCATATTTTTTCATATGAACAAATTAGTTTTATTTAGACTTGAGAAATTTTCTGTAAAATTTCTAAGTAAATATAGTGGGAAAAGAACTGCTATGGTATTTTTATCAGCTAACCAGCTATTTCAGTGGAGTGAGAAACATCCATGTACATGAAGAATTTTATAGTGTTCCAGATGATCTCTTTGGATTTATCTTTTTTTTCAGATTCGGAATTTCTGAGAAGCTATATGGAGATCAGAAAAACACTGGGTAATAAATACAGTCAAAGCATTGGTTATGGGGACACATACCATTCACATAAAGCATAACAGAACTCCTATTCCGTCCTGCAACAAAAGTATATTCTCCAGCGTCAGAGTAAGTGGTTTCAAAGATGCTCATTCGATGGACTCTCCTTTCTGCCACATAACTGTATCTTTCCTCATACTGGAAGTTGATCTCAATACCATCCTTGTACCACTGTGGTTCAATGTCATCTTCATTGACTTCAAATTCAATTTCAGCTCTTTGTCTCTCAATGACCTTTATACAGGTAGAGTAAGTAATAGAAATAAAGTTGTTTTTACATATGCCACTTTCCATTTTTCTAGAAGAAGGTCCTGACCTTATAATTACAGATTTTTGTGTTAGGACTGCCTAGATATTGTTGCTCATCCCTTGCATTATTTTTTGCTTGACATAGTTATGAAATATTTATTCATCTGTATAGGTCATACCTGAATATCTTTATGAACGGTTCTGATGCGAATGTCACGACCTTCCACTATCAAATTGGCACTGGATGTGTTTCCACCTGCTACTACAGTGTACTGACCAGCATCAGACATTCTTGTGGAAGGAATGATTAGACGATGGACGTATTTCTCTCTCTGAATTTTCATCCTAAGGACATCAGAAAAGAAAATAAGCTAATTATTTCCTGGGGCAAAATGCATAGCAAAAGTTATTATGGTGTAAAAACAATCATTTACCTGTCACCAATCTGGAGTTCTTGCCCATCCTTCATCCACTGGACTTGAATGTCAGGTTCTGAAACTTCACATTCAAAAATAGCCCTCTTCTTCTCCACCACCTTGATGTCTTTAATATGCTTCCTAAATTCAATGTGACGAGCTAGGGCAGAAAAAAATGTAAAATGAGTGCCTTGATTTTAGTTAAGCCACTAGAAGTCACTAAATATACAAATCAAGAGAGCAAATACCTTCCACGTATAAAGTGGCTGATGAAGCTGCTTTTCCAGCAACAAAAGTATATTCTGCAGCATCCCCAAAATGCACATTCCTTATGGAGAGGGAGTGTGTAAGCTTCTTTGTCCGTATCTGGCATTTATCAGTCGATTTTATTTCTACACCATTCTTTAGCCATTTATACGAAATACCTTCATAGTTAACAGTGACTTCAAATGTTATTGTATCTTTCTCTTCAGCATTGATGTCTTGTAGCATGGAGGTAATTAGGATGGCTAAAAGAAAAGAAATTGGGTTTTCCCTCATGCTATTTTGTTTTATTTTATTTTAAATGCATGTTAACAGGATCAGAGATGTTTCAACTTCTTTAAGACAATTTTGGTAATATTAAAAGGTAGGCTTTTTGTCCAGAATCAATACTACAATTAAATCTCCTACAACTACTGAATTACATAGGAACCCAAATTCTATCTCCTGTGCTGACTTGGAGTTTAGGCATGTTTGCCTAAACAGAAGAATAGGGTCTGACTTTCAAGTTCACTGCTCCTAGATCTTTTTTAATAATGCAGTTGAGGCTGTTCAGTGTTATTTCAAAATACCGCTACAACAGCGCTGGTTTTGTCTCAGTTGCACTATTTCCATGTGTTAACACAAATTCTATTATTGGTAACTGTAAAATATTCTGGTAAATTAATTTTTACATACGTTTTACGGTCAGGGTTGCACTGACTCTATCATTGCCACAGACAAACGTGTATTCTGCAGAATCTTCACTGCTTGTGTTCATGATATTGAGCTGATGGAGTTTCCCCTGGACCACTATTTTGAACTTTTCACTCATTTCAATCTCCACACCATTTTTCAACCAGACAGCAGGCACATTGAAATGAGAAACTTCACATTCAAAAGAGGCGGTTTTGGTCTCAGGGATTTCAATATTTTTCATGGTCTTTGTGATGTGTATGGCTAAGAGGGAAAGGAAAAAGAAAAAAGAAAGAATTTTTTTAAAGTCAGTATGCAAAAAAACCAAGGGTAACAGGCTCTCAAGTGCCAGATCAAGTTGTTCAATATGATTTGGTGTAACAATTCATATCATTGCTTTCTTACAAACTTACAATACTTACTTTCCACAAACAGTTTTGCTTTACACTCCATTTGCCCAACAAGAGCTGTGTATTCCCCAGCATCGTCAGGAGATATGTTGTGCAGCATAAGCTTATGAACTTTCCTTTGAGAGATCATCTTGTATTTATCACTTTGTTTAAGCTCAATATTTTTGTGGAACCATCGGACTGGTATAGTATCATGGGATACACTCAGTTCAAATGAGACAACAGCATTTTCCAAAGCAGTCACATCCTTTGGCTTTTTGATGATCTTTACAGCTTGAGGAAAAAAGTTAGCAAGATTCAGCAATGTATATGATGTGAATTTCAAACCACACATTACAGCAAATATTCAAATCACTTTGACTTACTTTCTACATGAAGTCTGGCATTTGCTCCTATTTTTCCAAGTTTAAAACTATAAACAGACTCATCGGTCACCACACAGTGTTTGATTCTCAGTGTGTGAACAGTTCCTTTCACTGTAATTTCATATTTGTCATTTGATTCAAGTTCAACACCATTTTTAATCCATAGAGCTCCTTTCACATCAGGGTGGGTCAGTTCTACACTGAAAACTGCCTCCTGTGATTCTGTCACAGTCAGGTTCTTCAGTGTTTTCTTTATCTTAACAGCTAGGAAAATAAAGGAAAAAAAATCAAAAAACCACAAATTGACAGAACAGATCAAAATTAAAAACTATAGTAAATATAATAATCTTAATGAAATTGAATCATGGTGTTTCATGTTATGCATTTATTGATTTATACAGGTTCCAGTAAAGGGGTGTGCTTGGAACTCAACAAGGGACCTTTACTTTTAGGATCCATGAGAGATGTTTGGTTTGAGATTCTTTATGTTTTGGGGTGGTTTTTTGTTGGTCTGGTTAGTTTTGGTTTTGTTTTATTTGATTTGTTTTATTTTGCCTGATCCAAGACACAGTGAGTGACGCTGGACTGAGTCTTAAAGACATCAGTTATAAAAATACTGACCTTCGACCTTCAGTTTGGCAGATGTCTTTGAGCTTGCTATTTCATAGCTATATTCACCCATATCATCCAGTTTTGTCACAGGGATAGTAAGCCTTCTCTTAACACCATCAGATTGAGTACGGTACTGATCTGTCATAGCTAATGGTCTACCATTTTGTAGCCACTGGCCTTCTGATTCGGGATTTGCCACCTCACATTCAAAAACAGCTGTCTGGGACTCAGCCACAGTCAGGTCACTGAGAGGCTTTGAAATGGCACCACCTGTTGGGAAGAAAAGGCACATGGTTTTGTCATGTGGCTGTTCAGCTTTCCCCCATACAAAAATGAACAGTAGACGCTGGAATTCCTTGCCCTAATTTGCAGCATGCCCATAGACATTATGAACTTGTGAAATATCAAGAATAGAGTATGACCTGAAAATTACTAAGAGATGTTTCTTAATTCCATCCTAGTTATTCTCACTTATTATTTTTATTATCAACACAGGTATACTTAGCACTCAAGACAAAAACCCTCTGTTTTACATTAGTTACATCAAAAACATACTACAGCATTCCTTACTATGGTTCTGATCATTTACTTAAAAGCTTTGAGAATTTAAATTATACCAATAAGAAAAGATAAAAGGAAGGGCAAGGAGAATGCAAAAAATAAAAAAAAAGAAAAATAAATTAAAGGCAAAATCCCCAGAAACAGAACAATTGCTACAAGTACAAAATACAGTACCCTGGGCATTTTTTTAAATCACAGTGAAATAAAAACCTTGGATTTTAACTCTACTAACCTGCTACTATAAGCTTCCCAGACGTTTTCTTCTCTCCAGCATAAAATACATATTCTCCTTCATCATCTTTCATCATCTTTACCACTGTCAACTTATGTATTTTGCCATGTGCTTCTATTTTATACTTAGGACCAGCCTTTATCTGTTGGCCTTTGAAATGCCAAATTACATCAATTCCTGAATGGGAGAGCTCTACCTCAAAGGACACATTCTGTGTTTCAGTGCAGGTGATGTCACGAAGACCTCTAATAATCTCAATTTCTATAAAAAGAATAAATTATAAATATATTAGGTGTTTCCACGGTTTGGTATTTAAGGAAATTATTTCACAAAGAATTGTGCTTCTTAAAGGACACCTACGTTCAACTGTGACATTGCAACTTGTTTCAACTTTGCCAACCATTAGCTTATAATGTCCTTCGTCTGATGCATAGGTTCTGGTAAGCACTAGCCTCTGTTTATTGCCTTTGCATACAGCTTGTACACGGTCATCAGGCTTTATCTGATTATCATTTAGGTACCACTTGGAAGAAGACACATCAGGTGCTGAAACTTTGCATTCGAGGATAGCTTTTGTTCCTTCGACAACGTGAAGATCTTTTAGAGGCACCACTATTTCCACACCTGTCAAGTCACAAAAATATTCATCATGAAAAAATACGCCTTTAAAAATAATCCTAAAAGAGACAAAAATCAAACACACCTTCAAAATCATGATAGTGACTTACTGTACACTGTGATCTGTCCAGTGGTTGACAGTTCAAGATCAGGAACACTGAAAGAGTAAGCTCCACTATCTTCCTTTGTTGCATCTTCTATGAGCAACATATGTGACTGTTTATCCAACACAATGTGAATACGATCACTTGATTGAATTTCTTGGCCATCTTTCATCCAGACACCTTCTGCATTTTCTAGGGAGACTTTAACTTCAAGTTGCACAATATCTCCCTCACAGACTTTTTGATCAGTAAGTCCTTGAAGAATAACCATGGGACGAGCTGTGGAATTAAATGAAGTTAATTAATACTTATAAGAGGTAAGGAGAATATTGAATATTAAAGCATTATGGGACACAATAATATGGCTATAATACATACTATAATGTTGAAAATCTATAATATATAAACAATATAAGTATTAGAAATGCTTACGTTTCATCTTCAGTTTGCATTGAGTCCTTTTTCCATCAACGACAAAGCTATACTCTCCTTGATCATCTTTATTAACATCCTTAATAGTGAGGATTTGACGACCACGGCGGGATGCAATCACATATTTAAGATTAGAAGTGAGTTCAACATCGCCATGATACCATTTCCCCTCCACGTCTTCTGGGAAAACCTCACATTCAAGTTCACCTGACAAGGATTCTGGTACTTCAATATCCTCAAGTTCTTTGATAAACTCCACAACAGCACCTACAGGCAAAAGTAATTACATTTGTGAATAAGCTTGATGATATACTCCTGAGGAAAACATTTCTTACTAAACGAGCCTAAGGAAATATATATATATATAGTGTAACCATTTTACATAAATATATCTCCAAACCGTCATTCTGGATGCCGAAAATATGAAAGCAGCTCAACATTTCATAGGGCATTGGACATCTGTTTAAATTGCTTTCTTTCTTTCTGAAGCTGATTTCACTTTAGCAGTATTGCATGGTACTGAGCTGCAAGCTTCTTACCTTCAACAGTAAGCTTTGCAGTAGTTTTTATGGATTCGTCTTCTACCAGTACACAGCTGTAGTCATCAGCATCATTCATATCAATTGTTAGTACAGAAAGAAAGTGAGCCTTTCTGTCTGAGTGCATTCTGTACTTGTCTCCAGAGTGAATCTCAATTCCATCCTTAAACCATTTCACTTTGACAAAGGGTTCTGATGTCTCACATTCAAAAGTTGCCATGGAGTCCCTTGATTTAGCAACAACATCTTGTAACTTCTGGGTGAAGCTGATTAACTGCTTGGCTGCAAAATAATATGTAATGAATCAACAGTGCACTGGCCATATAGACTTAACACGCTATAATGAGTAGTGGGATGAGTAAGAGAATTTAAATTACCTTGTACTAACAGGAAAGCATGGCTAGAAGTTTCACCAGCTATATTGATTGCTTTCACCATGATGCTGGCAGAATCATCAGAAGTCACATCTCTGATGACTAATTCACAAACATTATCTTCAGGCCAGTACCAATACACACGATCAGTCCTTTCAATCTGCACACCATTTTTGAACCACTGGCACTCAGGATCTGGTTTTCCCACCACTCTCACACGGAAGTGTGCATCTGTTCCCTGGGCTACAGTCTGGCTTTGAATTCGTTCAAGTATCTTGGGAGCCTCCATGCTTGGACTAAGCTCCACCTTCCCTGGTTTGATTGTTGGAATGGTGATTTTGCCTTCAGGAGGAAGTGCTTTCTTCTCTTCCTCTGGGATCTCTTTGGTCCAGTGAAGAAGTTCTTCTTTTGTCTTTCTTAGCATTTCTTCATATGATTCGTCTTTTTTGCGAGACTTAAGTTCCACAGCAGTGATGGCTTCATAGTAGCCCTCTTCTGTCCTACGCTTGAATTTACTACGCAGCTCTTCAGATTCCTCTGAAAGCTTCTCATGAGTGATTCTTTCAGCCCTTTTCAGCCTCACTACTTCTTTGGTTGTTGTTTCTGCAGGTTTGTCTACCTTCTGTACCTCAAAGAGAAGTTTCCCAGGTTCTGTCACTGCAGGCTCATGTTTGGGTTCAGGAGCACGACGAAGAACAGATCTGAAATCTTCCCTTTGCTGGATCTCAAGTTTCACCTTATGTTCAATAAAGCCTTCTGGATTCTCTGCAGTGACTCTCACCTCTCCTGTGTCATATGATTTGCAGTCCATAATATCCAGGTAGTAGATTCCATCATAACGGAGTCTAAACCTTTTGCTTTTACGGATGAGCTGTCCATTGAGGTACCAGTTGACCTTGGGCATAGGATAGCCAGTCACACGACAGCGGAATCGTGCTGTTTCACCTTCCAAGACTCTTGCAGGTTCAGGAACCAAAACAATTTCTGGTTTTTGTTTTTCCTTTTGGTCCAGTGCAACTGCAGGTAGAGCACCCTCATGGGCCATTCTTTCTAACTCTTCGATTCGCTGCAGTCCCCTTTTGCCTTCTGGCAGCTGGGATTCTTCCACAAGGCTTTTCTCATCCTTCACAATCAGAGTAGCAGAGGTATGGTCTGTACCATATTTGTTAGTCGCCCTACAAGTAATCACTCCACTGTCTCTGGAATAGGCTACTCCATAGTCCAGGCTGCAGTACCCAAACTCATTGATCATGCGGAGTCTGTTAGCTGCTTCCAAGGGTTTGCCATCATGCAACCACTCCACCACCATGGTTGGGTCACCAATTGGTGTAAGCCTGCATTCAAAGTGGGCTGGTCCAAATTGTTTGAGCCTTAGAGATGTGAGCTTCTTCTTAAAAAATGGTTTCTGTTGCTTTTCCTTGTCATAGAGATCTCCTTCCTCCCATTGTTCTTGACCATAACGCAAATGGAGAGGCTCTAACTCTGGTGCTGCAATCTCCTTGGCTTTGTAAGTTCCTTTTGGAATTATTAATCTCCTTTCTGGTTCAGGTTCTGTATGTTCAACTTCAACATTTACTTTGCAGCGGGTAGTGTCCCGCCCAGCTTTATTGATAGCAGTAGCAGTATACCATGCAGCATCTTGCCTGGCAGTAGATTCAATTTTAAGGGCAGCTGCCCCTTTGGTTCCCTCAATCCTGAAATACAAAAAAATAAAATTTAAAAAAAAAAAAATTAACTGTTTTTCACTTTGTCATTCATTTTTGCCCTTCTTCCAAATTAGGTCAAAGCCTCCAAAGGCAAATCTCTGGAGGTAATAGACATGTTGTTTATGTTTCTTCATGTTTATGAGGCACATGCCTAAGAATCAAATAGATAAAGATAATAAAAACCAGTGTTGAATTGAGTGGCAGTTTTGCCTGCAGAGGACTTCAAAACCATAGGCAGAGAAAGTTCCCTAAATCTCCGTTGTAAAAGCATTGGCTTTGCATAATACAAATATACAAATACACAAGCTGGAGAAAATGGAGTGAGTCCTACAAGCTATTTCATATCTCTAATTCTTGTTGCAATGTAAAAGCCCTTAGTGAATCCCTTCTCTGAAAGCAAGAGTATTCAGCACACTGTAGGAGGCATTTTGCAGGATGGTGATTATTAACTCCTTTACTTAAATAAAGTATTTTAAATAAAACAAAATGAAATTTCAATTGAAATAAAATTTAAATTTAAATTTAAATAAATATTCAAAAATAAAGATTCTTACTTTATTTTGGGGTATTTATGAGGCACAATGATGTCACTGTTCTTCAGCCATACAATGTCAGGATTAGGGTTACCAGTAGCTTTCACTGCCATCTCCAGTCTAGAGCCCTCCTTCACGCTGACATTCCTCAGCCTTTCCACAAAGTGTGGTCTGACTAGGTCTTCCTTAGCTGAAAGAGTGAAGGTAAGTTATCGCAAGAGGAAATGACATGGCCATGGTTTTTAATAGGAAACACTCATCAGACTCCTACAAAGAGCATGTACAGTATATACCTTCCACAGTCAGTGTCACTGAGACTGAAGCTTTGCCTGCCCTGTTCTGAGCAATTACAGCCCATTCTCCAGAGTCATCAGGCATTGCAGGGACAATGATCAGTGACTGGGTGCCATCTTCTTTAATCACTATTTTATGGGTGTAGTCATTAATGACTTGTTGACCTGCAGATGCACATGAAAAGAAAACAGTTGCACTCAAAACAGTGTCTCAACAAGATGTAAAAAGCATGTAAGATGGTTTTTTATGATTATTTGTTGATGAAAATGAGGCTGATATACCATTATGGAACCAGTATGTCTCTGGCATAGGTCTGCCAACAACTTTTAAGTCAAATCTTGCTGTCTGCCCCTGTGAACATTTAAATGATGTAGGTTTCAGCACAAAAACTGGTTTATACAGTCTCTCCAGTTGTCCTTCATCAGTTTCTTCTAATCTGCGGGCAGGAGAACGAGAAGGAGAACTGCGGGCAGGAGACCGGCTTGGGGAACGTGGAGAAATAGACCTGGAAGTAAAAGATAACACAGATATGTATGGCAATGTCATATAGAGAGGGGCTGACATGATAAAGAGATTTCAACTTTTGCCTTTATCATAATTTATTTAAAAGAGTTTGGCCAACTTATCTTTGTGAGAAATTTTGACAAATTATTTTTTATTTCCAGCCGATTTTCTTTAGATTTTTGAAAGGAATTTGTATAGCTGAATTGTATTAGGATATACCACAGCGAGGGAAATTTTGGGTATTGGATACTGCACAGATATAATCCTGTGTACATTTGCGTGGGGGTGTGTATGTGTGTGGAGACTGAACATGGCAACACTTGATTTTTTTCTGTCATAGAAATACAGCTATTTCAAGGGCAGGAAATAATAGCTGCACACTGCACTAAAACTCCAAGTGCAGAAAAGTTTTTTTCCAGAACATTATTACTTCAAGAAATAGATATGGTTATTGACATTGTAAATCTGATACTGTGGCTGGATATGCATGTGAATGATAGTACTCTGGGAACTGCATTGCTCATTAAGGCAAATCACACAAAGAGTTGGCATGTAAATCAATATAAGTCATGAAAACAGCATTTAGAACTTTTCCAGAAGTATGCAAACTCCAATCACTTAAGCTGTTTAACTGCTGAATAATGAGTTTTTGCTGTCTATCACAGCAAACTGAAGTCTCATGAAATTATATTACTGTGTACCTACCTATATCTTTTCATAACTTCTGGTCCTGGCATATAACCTGGAGTTGCTGTTGGTGCAACTGGCTCAACATACAGTTTTGCTGAGCAAATTGCATTTCCTTTCATATTGCTGGCAAAGACAGTATAAATTCCTTCATCTTCAGGTAAAACAACAGGCAAATGCAGACTGGCACTGCCATCCTGCAGAACTTCCATGTGGTAGCGCTCTCCGTGCCTTATGCGTTTACCATCTTTATACCATGCAACCTGCATGGAAAGAAACAAAGGACTGCTATGTGAACTCTCCTAAAGAAAAAGATCCAGTAATGACCCATACATACAACATACTACAACTTCTAATTTTTCAGCTGATGCATCATCATAGCCCATGTATATGTATTAAAACATTAACATTTTTACTTGCAATAGGTAAGAATAAACATGTTTACACAGTAGCCTGAAACATGAGTTTTGGAACTAGGAACAGATATATAACCCATTTTGATGAAGAGTAAAGTGACCTAGACTGGACTGCTACTGTGTTCCCCACATGTCCGGGCTGCCGCAGAGACACTCAGAAGCAAGACCAACTTAATTGGTAAACCTAACCTGACTCTGAACTGGCTAACCAACTTAGCACTATTCTATGAAGGGCAAAAGAAAAAATCAGCTTAATATCAATACAGAAGATTGGATTTCCTTTGAGAGCTGCTGTTTTTTGTGCAGAATGTAGAATGTCTGACAATGAGATGTTTTCCAAGGTATTTTTTCTAAGTATACCACCAGATGATTTTTTAAAAAAATTTAAGTTACACAGATTTGGGGTACCTTTGGCAATGGATATCCAGATGTCTTGCAGTGGAAAGTAACTCCTGTCCCTTCAAAGGTTCTATAATTCTTTAATCTTAAATCAAATCCTGCTTGTATAGCTTCAGATTCAGAAATATCAACCATCATCTCCTCTCCATCTTCTTCAAGTAGTTCATCTAAGGTAGTCTTAATAATTCTGAGTTCAATTTCCTTGATAAGTCTTTCTTCAAAAGAAGAAATATGGAATTCCTGTACAGAAAAACAAGACCATTAGTTCTCTGTGTCAGAAAATGACCTTGTAAATAAATTTGTATGGTATAACATCAGCATACAAAATTATTAGTATGGAGTGCTGGACATACCTCATCTTCCACAAAAGTTCTGACCACCACTGTATCTTTTGCCATTTTCTTCCTAATTAGAGCTTGTTCTTTTTCATACTCTTTTTCAAAGTCACCATATGAAATAGGTGGGGCTACCTCAGCCACTTTAGGTTCCTGTACATATGCAGTCATCTGAGTTTGATACATCATTTCTTGTGATTTTATATAGGCTTCGTAATCAGCTAAGAATTGAGAACACATTAATTTTGGTAAGTTTTTTGTGGTTTTCTCTGGATGGAACAGCGAAAACAAATACAAACTTATTTTACTGATTTTGGTGATTCAGGTAGACTTTCTATCTGTTTAGCTAACAAATACAAATTGCAATACAAGGCAAAGAGTGATGTAATCATATGAGCTTTATAAACAGGTAAAAGTTTTACTGTGCTATTTAGATGTTCTAGTTCTCAAAGTGGACACACCTGTAGAGATGATTTTACTATTTCTTCACCATGATTCTGTCTCCTGCTAACTTCATACATTTTTACAGGGCAACCAAAATAATATTAGCAACTTTCCCTCTAAGAGAACAACGTATTACTGGATTAACCCTCTTTCCCCACATCACTCTCTCAATATCTTATGGAGACTGTTATGTTTGTCAACAGAAGAGTTCCAATAGCTACAGATTCTAGCAAAGAATAGTCCTTTAAAAACCTGATGCCAGATACTTGGTCTTGTAGAAACAGAGCCACCAGGTCTCCCTTTATGTTTCTTGAGCTGAATAAACTAAGCTGCCAAGATTTTGCAACATATCTGAAAATCTTTTTCCAATTTTAAAGTTAAGAAGTATTTTTCCCATTTCCTTAATCTACAGTGTACCTTCTTCTAGTAAGGAGACCGTTGCAGAAGCTTCTCCATGAGTATTACGAACAACAATAGTGTATTCTCCGGCATCGTCGGCAAAAGTCATGGAAATTTCAAGTTTGCATTCCCCGGTTTCTCTTTTGTGACTCACTTTGTATCTATGGAAAACGTAAAAGTAAAAAATCTCTATAATTCTGATGAACAGACATTTTAGTGAATTTGCTTTTAGTTATACAGTTAATGAGAATCGCTCCTAACTTGTACAAGACACAAAAAGAGAAAGTTTTGCAGGCAATTCTCACTCAATGAATTTGCAGGACCATATAGGAAAAAAATAACCATACTGAAACTGGAGTACTGGTCTACTTTCATTTTTTTGTCACTAAACAAACAGGATCCAAACACCGGTACTGAAATATCAGAGGTCTAGTTATCAGACAAAATATAATGGTATATGCTGTTTGCACACAGTTTGTCCTAATATGGGTCATTATAGCATGATTATTTCAAGAATGCTACAAATGTAAATTTTTTCTCAGCTAGAAAGTGTGTTGCTTTCCATGGACAAAATTTGCATAGACAAAATGCAAACATTGAATAGACAGAATAAAACAAATGCAAAACTTTTTTTCTAATTTATTTATAAGGATATGTAGTATATCTCATTTTATGGTCTTTTGAATTTTTTAATATTTTAAATATTTTAAACATTTTAAAATTTAGTGGCTTTCTGAAGTCACACATTAAGACATGACCCTTTAATATTTCCATTTAAAAAACCAAAATTTCACAAAAATCAATGATGTTATTTGGCTCAGCATCAGTAAGGAAATCAAAATTACTATAGTATCAATTAAATATTCTTAAAAATCATGTTTAAGCAGTTTTTGTGCATTGTATTCAAAGTACCTGTAGCCAGTCGTTAGAGGAACTCCACCTTTTTTCCAGTAGACATGTGGCTTTGGGTTGCCCCCTACTTGGCATTCAAATATAATGCTCCCACCTTCAATTAATTTATGCACCATGGGTTTTCTTATGAAGAAAGGAGGTATGGGTTCTCCCGATACTTCCTCTGCTGCAGCAGAGACATCTTCCATTACAATGTCCTTTGTCTCCACATAGCTGAAATAAGATTTCAGGGCAGGTAAGTGAGCTGATGTCTGAAGCTCTCATAAACAGAGTGCAAGAATCTAATGACTGCAGTAGGAGCAGTCTGTTTAGGACAGGAACTTTACCGTTTCTCTTCTCTAACAGCCTTCTCAGAAATGGTTTCTCGAGTCTCAATTTCTTCAGTAACTGCAAGGCAAATATGATATAGTGGATTTTAAAATACTTTAATAAGCCTTAAGCAGTGAGTTTAGTTGACACAAAAATAGTAAATAGCTGTTTGCCTCAGAGGGCTAGGTACTTCCACTGAGGAAGCAGGTTAAGAGTCTCCATCTGCCTGTAGTTGGCCTTTCCCTCATATTCTTACAGTCCTTTTACCTAATAGCCCTGGAATACAACTCAGGGCATATGTTTTACTTTGGAACTGACAAAATGTCTATGATACATTACAAGTAATATACAGTTAACAAAATTATTAACTTCCTACAGTGACAGAAGGACCTGTCCTCGAGTTGCACCAAGGGAGGTTTAGTTTCAATATTAGGAAACCCTTCACTGAAAGGGTTATCAAGCGTTGGAGCTGGCTACTCAGGGGTCACCTGGGGCTGACTTTTAAATGCCACCTCCACCATGGAGGTATTTAAAAGATGTGTTCTGTGGCACTTAGGGACATGGTTTAGTGGTGGACTTGGCAGTTCTGGGTCAATAGTTGGGTTCAATGATCTTAGGGGTCTTTTTCAACCTAAACAATTCTATGACTCTATAAATATACTTACCTTTCACATGTAAGTGGCAAGATGTGCTGACGCTCCCAGCCTTATTGGTAGCAGTGCAGGTAAACCTTCCACTGTCCTCTGCAAAGGCTTCACGAATTACAAGGCGAGCAAGTCCTGCTTGAAAAGTGATCTGGAAGTCCATTGAGCTCTCAATCTTGTAGTCTTCTCTGTACCATGTCACGGTAGGTTGAGGATGACCAGATATATGACACTCCAGAGTGACAGACTCACCTTCAGTCACAGTCTTATTTTTGAGGCCCTGTATGACAAAGAATAGGTATCACAGTCAGTATATATTTTCACTACTAAACAGACACTTAAGTAAGTAAAACCTATTTGAATGGAAAATTTAATATCTACTTCAGAATAGTGTTCTGTTCATCACTGTATCCAAGAAAAAAAAAAAAAGGCATTTTCCAAAGGGAAGTATTTGAAACTGGATTTTAGGATCTCTGAACATTACTGTTATTAACAAAATGAAATGGTAGGTTGATGTTTGTGCAGATAGATCAACCTTCTATGTGACCTAATTGTGAAGATTCACCTCCTTAACAGACATCCGGAAGAGTTTGTGTCAGAGATAAATTATATGACTCAGTAAGTCTAATACGGAGTTAAAAAGATTAAATAAAGCCAACTTTCAATAGCTAGGTTTTCAGAGATGAAAATTAGATTAAAAAGGGTGAAAATGTATTGTAACTCCCCTAATCTACACACAAATTACTTACTGAGACTAAGGTGGGTGGAGTAGCAGGGATTTCTGCAGGCACTGGAACTCTGGCAGTTTCTGTCACCTAGGTTGTTCAAAGGATAATTAATAAACACCTAACAAACTCAAAGACATAAACAGCATAAATTAAATAAGAAAATAAATCAGATAATGTAAATTCTTTGCTTGTCATTGGTAAATATTAGATCCTTAGAAAGATTTGTGTGTAACAGAAAGATAAAAGCAGAATGTTTTAGAAGTGGAAAATTGCAGTAAGAAAACAACAAAAAAAGTGAAGCTATTCTATATTTTTAAGATGAAAGTTAGTCAAAGTGATAGAAATTCTCTTAATAACATACCTTTGCTTCACTTTCTTTCTGGAACACCAGGTGTTCTTCCCTCACTGCTTCACTTTTAATGCTTGTCTCTTTTTTAGTTTCAACACCCTCTCCAAAGGGAAACTGTGGAGGGGCAACTGGCTCTGCTTTTATCCTGACTTCATGTGGCTTCAGTTGAGGTGGCTTCACAGGCTTGGTGATCTTTTGCACAGCAGAAGTAGCTGATAACTCTTTTTCTAGAGTAGCCATGGCAGATCCAGCTATTGAAACCTAAGGAACAGAAGAGAAAAAAATTCAGATTTGTTGTAGTTTTGTTTTCAAAGGAGAGAGTATATTTCTTGAGCAGATAGCACATGCAGCAGTTGCTTCTTTAGTTACTTGCGTTTTGACACTGAAAAAACAATATATACAAAAATGAATACTAGTATCACATTGCATCAGTAAAATACCAGCTATGTAATATCCTAGTATTATTTTTGATGTGTCTAACATTCAGATTTTTTTTTTACTTTAAAATGTGATCTTTAAATGGCTAAGAAGTTCTTAAGTGCAATACAAGAAATGTCCTCTTTTTTTCTTCACTTAAAGCCTTAGCTTTCCGTTTAATTAGTCTGATACTGCAATAAACAATACTACTAATTACATAACTGTTGGTAATTAAAATAACTGAGAAGATTTAAAAATCTTATTATAGGTGAAATAATTTTTTAAAATATACACAAATATTTAAATAAAAATATTTTAATAGTTTAGTTATGTTTTAGGAAAAATTAATTAAGGTGAAGAGAGAAAGTATGCTTGAATGACAAAATTAATTACCTGGGAAATTCTAATACTATGTGAAGGAGTAAAACAGAATAGTGGAAAGAATAACATTAAAAAATAGATGGTGTCACATTATGCAGTCTGGATTTTTTCTATTTAAAAAGATAGCTTAGTACATATTAATCTGCAAGGAAGAAAAAAGCACTCTTTCCAGTCTTCTAGTGAACTGATGCACTGAAGAGGGACACTTCTGCTCTTTGAAAAACATAATTTGCATGACAAATATCTACAATTTCATTATTTGACAGGAAGTACTGAAGCTCCATTCTCAAACAGATTATAAAATTGGTTAAATAACTAATAATTATAAATCGCATTAGCAATTCATCTGTCTGTTTACAGCAGTGTTCTTCATTAGTCAAACAAGCTTACAAAAATAACTGTAGAGAGCATACAACTCTTCTTGGGAAAGCATCACATTAGAGTGGGAGGAAAAGCCAAATGAAATAGGTCACCTACTGGGTATTGAAAATGAGCATGCTGGTCTTCTTGGATACAACTTTAACTTACCTCATATGTATGATCTGGTTTAGGAACAGCAACTTTGGCAACCGTGAAATGAGGACTTGCTGTGCGGGGTCGTGGCTGTTCAACATGAAATATTTTCTCAGTTTCTGTTGCTCTTTTTATCTACACAAAGCAATGAAAAAAGTTGTTGAAAATGTGATGCTGTTCTCCAAACTGAAACACATTTCACTGGGACATGGTTTCTGGAAAAGAATATGATGTAAATTGAGTCTAACCTCTTTTGATATATGAACTTCTTGCTTTTCAGCAGCTGAGCTATGTTTCTCAGGAGGAACGTAGACAGTTTTAACTTCTTTAGTGACAACGTGATGTTCTGCTGGGGCCTCAGAAACATGGTCCTCTTTATAGCCATACTCCAAAGTTTTCTGCTTTACATGAGCTTCTTCTGCTTGTTCTGGTTGCCAGGGTGATCGAACACGTGCCTGATCAACAGCTGCAACGACTGTAGCTACAGCTTCAGCCTTTTTTCCAGCTTCAGTCTATAGATAACATTGGCAGAATTTATACAAATACTCATCATTATTTTGAAAACTTGTATACATAACAAATAGTTAAAATGTTCAGTATATTCCAGGCAAGGAGAGAGTGTAGTTACGCAAAAGTAATGATGTAAATCTCAAAAGTATACACCTGTAAATACACTTCAGAATCAGTAGATTCAAATACGTATTTTTTCTCTAAGTGCTCTGCACATTCAGAATATACCTATGCTTCTCTCTTTATACATATCAATATTTGTCTGCAAGCTCATTTTTAAACTTTCTAGTCATATTTGTCGCCACTTGTATAAGAGTATGCAGGTATGTAAATGTGCACATAGTTTTAAAGTATGCTCATCAGCTCCATACAACTATTAGATATAAGGAATGTAAGGAATGTGTCCAGCATCTGATGTGAATGTATTTACTAAGAAATATACCCATAAAAACTTTTTCACAGGGATATTTGTTAATTCAGTGCTAATCTGTTTTAAAGGATTTTACAAATGAAGGGAGACTGAGATTTCTGGTAATTTGGAAATAATGCATTTGTATCAGGACTTCTATGTGTTTCTAATAACTGATAAATATTGTCAGCTTCTATGTTATCAGGGTCCAAACTTCTGCCCTGTCAGCCAATAGTACGTAATAGGATGACTACTAGTATTTTTTACCATTATTGTCATAAATGATCTGGATATAGCAACAGAACACATGAAATGTATGCCTTGTAAATGGGAAAAAACCTAATAGATCATTTCATGCTTATTTTGAAATTGTTATCAACTTAAACTAAAATAACTTAAGTGAGGCCAAAATGTGATTGTTTACAGAGATTGTGTTTTCTTATTAAAGTAGTATTTAGGTAACAAGGACCTCTTATTCAATATCATTGCCAATTTCAAAATAATTGCTTATACTGACTTGCATTTGGCCCTAAATTTACATCATCTAACAAGCAATTGAAATTCCTTAGCAGATTGACTCCTCTGAGTGCATTTTATATGCTATGTTCATTTACTTATATTTTATAAAACTATTTTATGAAGGTACTACAGTGAAGATACATAGATTTTAAATAAAAGCTGTTGGTAACTATGCTATTCTCCCACATATGAAAGTTCCTGGCTTTATTGTAACAGAAGACTCTTCTACTTTGACAGTCCTACTGGAACAAAGAAGGATCAACAAGTGCCTGATTGTCAGAAGTAACAAATTGGGCGGACCTGAATGGACATTAAAGTTTGTATTGTACAAAGAACAATTCAAATCTTAATAGAGAGGGTTTTTTTATCTGACAACCATAAAGTTACAAGGAGTCATCTTGTAGAAATAAGAATTGCAGAGCCAGAAATTTGAACAAGTAAACATTACTTGAATGTCGTTGATAGGGAGGAGGTTGTCACAGAGAAATCTGGCTGTAGCCTTAAAGGTGACATTTCCTAACAGGGTGGAATATAAACGTCTTGATCATTAGAAACATAATCATACTGACTCTGTTACTTGACAATCATCACACTTAATGGGTACGTTATCAGGAATTAATTTGAGAGCATTCTGTTGTAGCAAAACAGCTCTTAAGAGTGAGGTTTGCAGATAAACCAAATTGTAACAGTGCATTGGTTGTAATTTCTTGCCAGTTCTGGACACTGTGACTGGTGCTTTGGTTTTATCAGTGGCAATTATTTTTGGAACTACGGTAGTTTTCTTAGCTTCCTTTTTAATCTAGTTTTTATAGCAGACAAAAAAGTTTTATTTACATATGATCTTGAAAGATATTTGAACAATGAGAAAACATTTTAGAATGGTAACAGGGAAGGAGGATTGAGTGGTTAGATCCTTGTGCATTGCACACATCTCTGTATTATATGTATACTGGTAAGTATTGTTACACCTTGGCACTTATTTGAATAAAAGTAATTATTTAAAAAAAAAAAGTTAAAATGCATTTCAGGAATCAGTCAGTCCATTCCAAAAGTCAGTCAGAAAATAATTATGAGCATCCTATTAAGGAAAACAGAAGAGGAAGATAGAGGTGAAATAATTTAGTCTAATTAGCAATAGGTCTAAAAGTTTGTCAGTTGAATAATCGTAAAAAAAAAAGTGAGCTTGAAAAGTATAGTTAGTATTTTTTGAGGAAAACATGAGGTTTGTAAAGAAGAAAGGATAAAAACCAGTTATGCTTATAATAGTGCTATTCACCTTTCCATGTGTTATGGTGATTTGTTCTTGTTTGGTAGCAATTCTTTCTTTACTTTTCGATATTGTGACCGGTGGTCTAGGTTTATCAGTGGTAATTACTACCTTAGGTACAGAAGGTTTCATATCTTCCCTTCTTATCTATTTTTTATGGTAAAGAAAAATAATAGTAATCAATTATGACTGTTGTCAAAATTACACAGCTTTCTGGGAATGCAGGGTAAGGTTTCAGAATGTATATTAATAAGATATAAACATCACTTCAGAATTGGAATAATTCCTTTATAACCAAGTTATAGCCCATCTTATATGCTAGCTGAGAGAAGTGCATTCAAAGCCATTAACAAAGTGCATTCATCTGCACTGTGAATTAGAGAAGAATCTTCCCACTTCCTAGTTAATTGTGATGCATCATTGCTATGTTTTGTAGAAAATGTTTGAATAAAAATTATTATTACTGACTTAACATTTATTCCCATTAGTAGATAGAACTATTTCATCAGTTACTCCAGCAAACAGTGGTTCCGCAATATGGTCTAACAGATGCATTCAGTCCTCACACAAATATGAACTTCATTAAATCAAACTTCACTAAATATCATGTCCTGAAAGATAACCTTTACAATTTATATTCAGAAATCTACCTTCAGAGAAAAAAGAAGTCATTAAGCATCAGATGAAAATCTGTGTACCCTGGCAATAAAAGCCATAATGCCCAAAGGATCAGAAGGGCAGCTGCACTCCTCTGTAGACAGAGCTGCTATGAGGTCAGTGGAACTGACCTGCAGTTCTGGCCTTATCTCTGGAATAACTTGCTTTATAAAGTTTTTATTTTGTAACCTTCTTTTCATAAAGAAGGACAGCAAAGTTACACAGCACATGTGATGAAGAATGATGTTTTATAAACTTATTAGAGTATCTCAATGAACTAAAGATTGTAACATTTATTTACCTTTTCATGAGCTACGTGCACCTGCTCATGTGTGGTAGATATTTCTTCTCTAGCTCTTGATATTCTTTCTTGTTCTCTGGCTCTGTCTGTGGCAATTATTACTGTGGGTACCGGAGTTTTCTCTGGTTCTTTTCTCACCTGGACATTTACAAATAAAGAAGTTTAAATGATATATTATTTTAAAATATAAGGTATGTGATTTTCAATGCATTTGGAAAAAAGGATAGAAAAAAAGGGAGGAAGAATGTCAAACTCTGTATTTTGAAATCATCTGGTCTGGAGACAACAATAACAACATAAACAGACTTTGTATAAAAGATTTAACATAAAAATAATAAAACATTCCACAAATGCTTGCTTTGATATTGAAAGCAGTAATAAAAATTTTAAAAAATGGCTCAGAGAAAAACTGTCCTGCATTATAATCAGTTTGAGAAAGTGTAGGATATTAAAACCAAGTTTTAGGTAACTTTCACTTTGACAAGAATTCAGATGCCAAATTGAGGTGTAATGCCCAGGTGAATTTCTGTTTCTCAGTGCTTTAAAGATAGGTTACACTTTCTTCCTTACACATTTCAACTACATTGCAAATGTAATCTTCTCTATAAAAGCCAGTCTTCCATTAAATCATATTTTTCTGATAAAATACATGCTAAAATAATGTGAATTCAAATCATTCATCGGTATTTTCAAATTTGATTTTAATGCAGAATGAGTTTTTTCTCCTTTTTCTGATCCACTGTGCTGCCAACAAACAAAGCAGGCTACAAATGGCAAGCTTAGAGACAAAATCAGAAAAAAAAAGCGTAACCAAATTTAAGAACTATTTCCTACATGTCAATTCTTTAAGTGATTATGAATACTAGCTAGTAAATTACCTTACAATATATGAAAAAGAGAGTTTTTCTAAATTAATGTTTTGCGAGTTTATCTATCACATTCTTAGGTATTAATAGTGGAAGTGAAATACAAAAGGAAAGACAGTTACCATCAAGGAGAGACAGGAAAATAATAGCAATGCAAACTGGGAGAGCGAACATATATAAAAGAGAAAAATAGCATAATGGTATATCATTTGTCTTGTTCATAGGCTTGTCTTGTGTATGAGATATTAGATTTTTGAACAAGGTAGGGTATAACAATCACTGGTAACATCTGTATTCACCTTTTCATGAGAGATGTGCCTTTGTTCTTGTGAAGTGACAATTCCTTCTCTAGTTCTTGATATCACTGTTTGTTTTGTGGATTTATCACTGGTAACTACTACCGTTGCCTCCTTTTTCATCTGAATTTTTATAGCAACAAACAAAAAACCCAAGCCTTAAAATTCACTTTAACAAATTGACCATCAAAATAAGAGGAGAAGGAAAAATAAGAGAGGAATGTAAGTGAAGGAAAAACACTAAGGGAGAATTATTTTATTCCTAGGGGGGAAATTATAAATGAGATATTAGAGAAAAAACTTCATCATTGTAAGAATAATGTTAGCAATGAAAAGGAAGAATAGAGGGTCACTTTCATAGAAGGAATTCTTAACCTTAAAAACAGTTTAAGAATAATTAGTTCAATCCTGCTATGATGGAATGCAATGGATAAGTGAACCACGAGCATTTGTTTACATCTAGCTTCTCTATATGAGTATGCATGCTTTTGCAGTGCACTGGGTAATATCTGGTTAATTCCTCACAGTCAGTCATGCCTTGTTTGCATGTTGGATGAAGGGATAAAAGGGAAATCAGAGAATGTCTGTGCTCTATTTCTACCTGCTCCTGAACAGGTTGAACGTGGACTGCAGTCATTGCTGTCCTTTTAGCAGTTTGCTCTACAACACCTGGAGCTGGTTCTCTCACCATGGCTTGATCCACAGCAGCAACAACTGTAGCAACAGCTGCTGTTTTTTCACTGTCCTTTCTCACCTATATTAGTCACATCAAAAAACATTTTTTCATGTTTTGCATACATTCAGAAGAAGCACAAAACAAGTACAGAGACACATGTTGCAAAGAAGCATTTCTGTATTTGCAGCAGAACTCAACAGCAGATACACAGGTTTTTACACACAGCTTCTCAGATGCCATTTAGCAGAACTATTCAGCAGTAGTGAGACCCCACATAAAGCAAACCCAGTGTTTTTTCCAGTAATAGACTTTACCTCTCTAGCACCAGTCACCACCTCGCCAGCAGTAGCACCAGTAACGGTAACTTGTTCTTGGACCCCATATGTCCCCTCCCATCTCTCTTCAGTTATTTGGGTAGTGCTTGTAGATACTCTTGTTTCCTTCATCTGGGCTTCCATGGTTGCAGCATATCCTTCCTGCTTCCAAGGAGGAAGGACTTCAGCCCCAACTGTTGTCACTACATGTGGTTTACGGATTGGAGATGGAGACTTCACTGGTCTGATAGGGGAAGTGGAGATCCTTCCAGCAGGAGAAACCGACCTATTGAAAAAAATCAGAGTATTGATGTAATTAATCCAGTGTCATACAATGACAACTGTATGAAAAAACTTCGGCCTGAACTTGATTTCACTCCATAATTAGGGTACCTTCAGTAATATATAGTTTGATTTTAAAAAAATTTTGAGGTGTTTGACTTGTAAATTACACTAACCTATGTGCCTAACAATATGCCTAATATGTGTGGTTTTGTCATACTCATAACTGTAAATTGTCTTTGTGGTATCCTAGTTTCCAGAAAGAAATAAGAGCAAGTGGTAAAGGAAATTTCACTCAAGCACATATATTCAAAATATAAAAATTCATCATGACTTTCCATTTGCTCTATCCTAATTCTCCTAATAGGAATAATATAAAAGGCTTACATGTTGTAAGTATTACATATTACATTCGTAGTCCAGTCTCTGTAGAGAGACAAAATGGTTAATGTAACCAAACTGTGGCAAACACGTAGAAAAACAACTGTATCTACTACTGTACCACATCTCATTTCCATGTGACATCCATACATGTACTCATACTCCAGGCAAGCTTCTGATCAGTGCCTATCTTTTTCCCCATACTTACATTTACAAATCTCAACCATAATAATTGTTAGCCATTTGGAAAGTGCTAGTTTCTAAATTTTGAAAAATTCAATCCTAATCCTAGTGGACAGTTTTAAAGCATTTTCCAAAATACTTTAATAGGCTTTCTAACTTAGAATTTCTCGGAGTGGAATTTTTTTGTGCTGTATTTCCCAGGGAACGTTAACAAATAGCATCACTAGGGGGCAGCATCATCATTTAACTTTTTAGATATATTTTCTAATGTGTTGTGTTGTCTAAAAGTGGTCTGATTAGTAAGGGAGTACAAACTTCTAGTTCCATATGCTCTCTAGATGGCACTATTTAATCCTTTTTCTGTGTTTGCAGTTTGCTAGTTATTGCTAGTTACTATCAATCCGTTTCTTCCCGTCCTTTCAAGTTATTCTCAGCGGGGCAAAATTCACCAGCGTGCATAGCTCTGACAACTTAAATGGGGCTCTTCTGGGCACTCAGCTTGGAGATATTCCTTCCATGATGAAGCTGCTTCAGGATACTGCAACTGCAGGATTTCCAAAGCAATCTTCTCTTTACCTGCTTCTCAGCACAGATGTCATGGGGTGTCTTAGACCACGAGCCCTGCTCTTCAAACCACTCACTTTCCCTCTCAAGAGGCTCTACACAGCAGAGCTAAACTTCATTTTTCCATAACCACCTTTAGCTTGCCTACCTTCAAAACATTATTTCTACAGTCATTACCAGTACACACATGGAACATGTGTTCACATTTTTTTCCATATCCTTTCATTATGTTTGTCACTCATCAATGCCATTGCTCTTTTCTCTGTTCATCTAAAATAATCAAGGGCCAACTGCCATACTGTTTTCTTCCCTTTCATCATGATCTCGGAGCTTTGAGTGGTACTTTGGCTCTATACAAGGCAATCAAAAAGGATTTTCTTTCACACTGGACAGAAAGTGTACATAGGAGGCACAGACTTCTGGTAGTAGTGGCAAGTATAGCACATTATAACTAGCCACCAAAATAAACTCAGTAAGTAATAAGTGCCATTTTATACCATGCTCTCATGCTACAGCATTACTGCTATACGTGAAAGTGATTCAAAAACAATATTGTTTGAAACAATGGTAGTTTTACCTTACTGGTGAGGGTGTTGGTGCTCTGACATGTCTTACAGGTGATGGTGATTGTCTAACAGGAGATGGTGATTGCTGTCGTGCCATTTGTGCTTTTGCAGCAGTTGGTAGGGTTGGTGATTTTGATGTAGGTCTAGGAGGCATTCGTGGAGGTGCTTTGTGTGGGAGCTGTTGGGCGGCTGCACCTTCTATAATCATTTCAACACTTGTAAGTGATCTGGCATCAAAGTGGGCTTCAGTCTTCTACAATGAAAAACAAGAGAAAAATACTAGGGTGAGATACTGTAGAAGTAATCATCCACATTTTAGTCTTACCTGCTTTGTTTTTGGAAATTATACCTTTTCAATTCTGGCTTGTCTTGTTTGTGAAATCTGAGCAGTCGAAACAATTGTCTTTGTCTTTTTAGCAGGAACGGCTTCTTCCTCACCTTTTGGGAGAGAAAATGTGGTCAGGAGAATTTCATATGCCAACAATCAATAAACAGTTGCAGAAATGAATGAAAGGTCAATTCCAACTATATAAAAAATTATATAAACAACAGAAAAGTAATTAAGCAACTATCTGTTTTTTCTGCAATATCTATAGACCGATAATTGTGAAAATAGTTGAAACAATATTACCGCACTACTAAGTCATTAGGAAAAAAAAAAAACAAACAAAAAATCAAACCAGAACACATTTATTGTTGATTCTTCATATCAGTCCTAGGTCTGAAATGATTACAGAGTCTGGAAGCCTGAATGAGGTGAAATCCAAGCAAGAGTACTCTGGGTAGCATGACTCACAGCTACAATTCTCTATCTAAGAACTGTCTTCATCCTCGCCTCCCTCACACCTTGTACAGTTATGCAGTCTAACATATTTATTCTATCAAAGTCAGCTATCAAATACAAAACGAGAACAACGCAAAGTATCCCACGCTTTTATCTATCTATTGTACCTTGCATTTAAAGAAGACCCATTCTGGAGAAAAGGTACTTTTAAATCTCAGAAAAAAACCTTTGGCAAATTTCATCAAAGACACTGCTTTTTTCACAGTAAGTTAATAACTCCTTAGAAAGAAGTTATAAATTAACTTATTGATATCACATCGATGAAGTGCTGCGTATTGAACCACTGCAATGAATGGTCTCCTATTTTCATGGCTTGCAACTTCAATTCTCTTACCTTGAATTAGCAGTTCAGCGGTTGAAGTAGCACGTCCCATACTATTTGTGGCATTTACTGAATAGGTGCCGGAGTCTTCAGGGTATGCTTCTGCAATTATTAGGCTGTAAAGGTCTCCTTCTTGTAAAATTTTAAAATCGGGGGAGCTTTTGATTTCTACTCCATCCCGATAGAACTTCACCACAGGTGTAGGGATTCCAGTCACTCTTACATCAAGTCGAACTTGACTTCCCTGCCTTGCAGTCATGCTCTGTAGTCGTTGTGAGAAGTTTGGTGGTGCTGTTCCAGCTGCATTTTTATTGAAGAAGTAAATAGAAAAACAATAGTGTTTGTTAAAAAGAACTGTAAGGACTAGATATTTTCATTACTAGACGTGCACAAGGTCTATTTTTCTTTCACATGCTACTGACAGATGATAGAAACTTCTGAAACATTCAAAACATTAGGAGTTGATTAACTTTTTTCTTGCATTTAAAATTACTGATATTTTTGATTATGCCCATAATTGCAAATGTTTCTAGAATTACTGATACACTGATTATAACCATAGGCATTAAGCACATACTCTTGAGTATGGCCCTTTATGTGAGTTATTCTGTTAAATATCATTTATTTCATTAAATATCATTAGGGTCTCCATCCTGAAGAACTTTATCCTTTCTTTTATGAGTAGTTTGAATATACCCAGTGTGACAGATCACGAGTGGAGGTGTAGAGGGCTAAGCCAGAAGCTTACAATTGTGAATAAGAGTTTACAAGATCAGGATTAAACTTTATACAGCTAAAGTATAAAGGACACCTTTAGACATTCCTGGTGAGAACATATGCTGAATTCTAGACTGCTTTAGGAAAAGGAGAGTGGTTTGCTACATTTTGCTGACCACATATTTCAAATCAACTTTTTTCATTATCTGTGACTCTTCTGCTATCACTCTCTTTCTCACACTGCTAGCAGAGGAGCATTTCTTTAGCTGCATTATACCTGTGACAAGCAGCTCAGCAGTACTAGTTGCTTGCCCAGATCCATTGGTGGCTTGTACGGTGTATCTTCCACTGTTTGCTTCTGTCACGGTGGGGATCACCAGTTTAGCGCGGCCATCACTAAACGAGATCTGCACACCGGGCAGAGTTTCAGCAGAGAGAACCTGGCCATCCCGATACCAGTTCACCTCAGGAACTGGGAAACCTAAAGAAAAAGGAAGACAAACGGAGACTAAGATGCTATGAAATGCCAGATATAAAAAATTACCATAATACGCACTTGTGTATTCGTGGTTATAGTGGAGCATAATGGCATAGGCACTGATATATGGTTATATGTCCAGTGACACAGTGGCAAAGGAATTGTAGAAAGGTCTTTAAAATGCACAGAGCAATAGGGCAGCTGCACAAGCTCCTGCATTTAGGAAATCACTTGAATAATGAGGGGACTGTAGTGTTTGGCAATCCTGTTCAGGAATAAAAGTTCATCATAATCATGAGAGGGATGGATTAAAGCACGTGAGGTATTTTTAAAATTTATTTGCTAGTATCTAAGAAGGACTGCTTATTGATAACAAATTTATCCTGTCCGATAATTTGGAGACAATGTAAAAATCAGTACTTCCAACCAAGTTAAGTATTTTTCTAACACTATAAGTTTTTAGAAAAATGAAGTGACAGAAAAAGTTACTGCTGTAGACATTAAAATCAAGTGCTTTCCAAGTTTTGGGGTTTTTGATTCCTTTTTCTCCAATTTTTTGAGTTTGATGACAGCAGTCATCTGGAACCTGATATCAAATACATTGATCTTGTTCAAATATATTATTCTTTTGTTAACAGGGTAATGAGTAAGACTCTTCTGGTCAGAAAAAACTAATGGTGATTTTAGATTCCCAGTGGAAATTCTCTTCACAGTTTTCTACTCAGCCAAATTTATTGAGCAACTGAAATCCATTTGATGAATAAATAACATTTTTATATGAGTCACATAAGCAGAACAGCTAATTTAAGGAGTTAGTTCCAGCTCAAAGTCCTTTTTGTAGTCCTAGAACACCACTTCAAAAATTAAAATTCCTGCAAATTCACTTCATGTATTTCTCCACTCAGCCCAAATCACCAATTGAACTGCACTGGGGCTCAGGAATGAAATCCGAGACTGTATTTACAATTTTCCCAGTTCTATTCCATGGTTTGGAAAACCCCAGGGCCACAGAATTCTGCTTCCTTTCTAGTGTATCCCTCCTATAAACCAAGTAAATCATTAGGGATTTTAATGTGCCAGGAAAATGACATAAACTCTCACACACAGTGTGGACAGTTTTAGAGAGGATTAGAAACCAAAAGCTAAAAGTACTTCTAAGCATTATTAATTTCATAGATGGAAGTTATCAAACAGCCCTGATGGGAACGTATAATTCAATTTTGTACTACTAGTGTAGGACAACTTGGGTATTATCACCATAAACACTGAGTATTCAGCAGATCCCAGTTATTCCATTCAGATCTGTGTCTTCAACATTTTGTGAAAATTAGTTTAAAAACATTTTAAGGTAGGCAACCAAAAACATGTCCTCAATAGAGAATTTCTTGTAACATCAAAATGTTTTATTTTCTTGGGGCAGCATTATATGATGATTAGCAAACATGGGAGTTTATGTGGGACGTTGAAAAGGTCTGCATTCTAGAAATGGAGTATATTTTGATGCCTCAAACTCCTATATCCAAGGGATCCAAAGTTAGAAGCCATTTAATTTATAATTAAAAAAACTCAACTCCACAAATTTACTAGCACTCTGCTATCCCATGCCACCAAACTAGGCACTAAAGGGTAAGATCTACCTCAGATTATAGATATTTTTACCTGGTCTATACAGAATAGGGATTTGCTTCTACATGTGCCAAATGACACTATGATTTGACTATTAATTATTAGGACAATCTTTTTCATTTTGTTCATTTTTCATTCAATTGTCCTTGAGGTTTTTTGAGCTTTAATGCCAAAAATAAGAAAATCAACCCAAAGTGCCTCAAATCCACTACTAAAGTAATTGAATTCAATGAGACTCTTCTGACAATGACGTGAGAGGAACTGCCAACTTGTGTTCAATCTATGTGCTGCTTTCAACAATAAGCAGAGTTTAAAGGTTGTCTTGCACTGGGTAATACCTGAAAATATAAGTTCAAAGAAAGGTAAGCAGGGTACAGGTTTCTTTATGAAAAAAAATCAAACTTGATCAGTGCTGTGGAGACATGAGGATGGGCACAGTTCTAATGCTGGCAGAACTTCTGACTTCCTTGTCTCATGACCCCTCAGCCAGTGCTGACCCAGCAGGACTCCCACTGCTCTGGCATTTACTGCTTTTAATGACAGGGTTTGTGCGTTCTGTGCTTTCTGAGATTTCTGTAACATGCTGGGTATTTTGTAATGTGGCACTTAATTTACAGTCTAATATAACAGTAAAATTCATTTGTTCTAGTTTACACACAGCAAAATTGCATCTCAGGTAGTTGCTAAGCTCTTCTGGATACCCTTAGATTAACTGAACTCTTCACATTTGAATTGTAGCTCTGTATTAATACTCGACTTGTATATAAAAAGCCAGTGTTATCAGAGATAAAAAGAAATTCTTCATTTCAAATTCACAATATTTCATTATGGATAGGAAGGGCAGAATAAAGCTGTGTAGTCCTTTATGCAATTAGTTCAAGAAATAAAACTCTCCTATTTGTAACGCCTTAGAAAAACTAAATGGCAAGCCACTGTTTCATCTTTCAACATTGGTGGATGCTTTTGGGGCAGGAAAGATATACCAGAATCTCACAATGTGAACAAAAGCTAACAAGAGATTGACTTGCAAGATATTTGAAACTAACATCCAATATGGCATATTATTAGAAAAACTGATGTAGCTTCACTTAGTAAGAAATCAAGTTCCCCTCCCAAGTATTCCATGATATCACACAAATGAAAATAGCCTATACCATACATTGAGTCATATTAACATCCTATCTTGTTCTGATGATATATTTACATATTTGTAATAATTATAAGTATTGTAATCAACCATGGAAAAAACTTTTCACTGAAAATTTTCAGTGTACAGGCAAGAGAAGATCGGGGCAATTAACTGAAGATCAAGGGCCAAAGAACAGAATATGGCATGAAAAAATATCATGGATGTAGACTACATGACATGTGGGCCAGTGTTATCCAAAGGGACCAGGGGATGAACCACAGTGGATTATAGATGTCAGAGATCTTTATGGTTGGACAGATCATGTGTTTGCACCTGTCACAGAGCATCTGAGTAGTATTTTATGGTATGTGGATCATCACATTGCTAATGCCTGTAAGACAATATAATTCCATCAGCAGAGAACACATGTCATTTCTCCTTAGTCACTGCCGAGGTCAGAGACACTCTTAGAACAGGGTGTTGGTTATCTGGTAACGTTATCTCAGGAGTTTGCATGGGGTTTTGCACAAGACAGGGTGTTTGAATACCATGTAGACTGGAGAAATGAAGTATCCTTTAAATTATATGGAATCTGGCATCTTCAACTCACATCAATATCTTAAATTATATTAATCCAGCCTTGAGCTACCATCAAGACCACCATACAAATCTATTATCTAGCATACTAGGGTTTTCTACCCTTTTCAGTCACCAGGTGGACCTAGATTTTGTGCTTTTAACCCCGTTGCTAGAACTCTGGAATTAAGTAAACTTAAGGACACAGGAGGGAGAAATACAGCTTAGCTAGAGTAAGAGTAAGGCTTAGCAAAAGGTCATTGAAGAGTTAGCACAAGCCTTGCCCTTTGCACCTTCATTCCTCATTCTGTCCAATCATCATTCAAACAAGATTATTCTCTCTGTACCTGTATAAAGTTTCCTTATTAGCAGAGTATGTATCCTTATATGTATATTTTAAAGGTATTTACCCCAGTTTTGCTGGTTCTGACATATATGAGAATTAGACACCAGTGGCATGGCAGGATGACTGCCTACTGCTTGGTCAGTAACTTTATGCAGTCTGTTTGTAGATATTTGACAGCACCTCACAGTGCTGATCAGTACTGTATAATAGAGATATATATCCATATTTCAGTACTCATCTTTACCCATTCAGATCAGATTATGATCTATAGAAAGTGTTATCATTTTTCTAAGCATAAACATTAGGAAAAAATAGTAATAAAAAAATAATAAATCTTGGAAGAATGAAGCAAAACCTTACCACTAATATGAGCCTCAAAGGTTGCGGCACTACCCTCCAGTGCCACAACACTTTGTAATGGCTGCGTAAATGTTGGTGCTTTTGTCGTCATCTTTACAGGCACTCTGCAAGCAAAAAAACCCCATCATTAGAGATAAATAGTGACAATGTTATTATACGCACTCCTTTCTTGCTAGATTTTAAGAGTATTTGTAATTATTTTCAGAACAATTTACTCTAGTAAGTTTTAAATCAGAATGACCTGGTGAAATGTGAAGAGTGTAGATTTTGACAAAGTTGTATGGCAAATTATTCTTAGAGAATGCTTGGCTGAGTTGGATGTGAAACCATTATCTTTAGTGGAGCTGTGCTTTGGCATTGCAAGTGTGCAGCAGAAGACAAAATTCTGCTTGACTCACTGCATGACCTTCCACAGGTCATCCAGCCTCTATTCATCTATTAACTTTTTTATCTGAAGAGAAAATAATTTCCATGTATAATTTTTTAAAATGTTTTGTTGGTGCAAAGCATTTGCATTCTCCAATGAGAATATATCTAGGTCACTAAGCAGCAACTGAAAGAATGTGAAGGTCTTCAATGTATTTGGCTCATAATAATGATCAAAATGACAGAAGACTATTTTAAAAGCAGTCTGTAAGTAGTGAATAATTTCTTTTCACAGAAGCATATTGACATTAAAGATGCAGATAAAATTCTAGTCTTTCTTAGAGAGTATTTCAGTGGAATTTTGAATATGGGAAGACAGCAACCTTCGAAATGTGAGCTAGGATATAAGGTAGCCACTGACACTGATGGCTTGAACAACTGCAGAGCCATGTGAAATCTGAAAGAAAGTTTGCTTTCTCTTGCTATGCCAAAAGATCCTACTTTGAAATAGCACACTACACTAGAAAAGCTTCTGTGTCAGTGTTTTATATTTGCCTGAACATTAATAGATGTTCTATTAATCTATTAAAGTTACAATGTTTCTCAAAATAAAATTCCCCTGAGAGTAGATCAAGTCTTAACAAACAAGAGTTAATCCCACAATTTTTTCAAGCCAATCTTGCTCACATATTTACTTCAGTTTATCTGGCTTTTGTGCCAGATTTTGTGACAACCCCAAGCTTAACTCAAAAATAAGAAAGCAAAGTTTCTTTCACTCTGAGCCAAATTTATTTTACCTTTCATAGGGGTAAAAATTCTTCATTACATGAATGCCTTCATAGAAGTCAGGGCCTGATGTGTACATACAGTAAGTGCATAAGGGCAGAACTGGATAATGTATCGAGATTTTCAGCTCAAGTTATGACTATGTTTTGAAGCTCAGCTAAAATATATGGAAACATTATGAAAGCTTGTATATATGTGTAGTTTCCTTACTTCAGAATAGATCAGAAATAATTCAATTAAGTAAAACTGTCATTGAGTTCACACAAAGTTTCTCTCTTTCATTGTCTAGGCAAATTCTGGTGATGAAGATCTGATCTTATAAGGCTTCTTGTATAATTAGAATTGAAAGTATGTGTCTGAAATGTCATGTTCCAGAAATAACCTTTACAGCTATGAATGACAGCAGACAAGTGTTCCAGAGCTGCCATGTAACTGATACCTTAGCAGTTGTTTCCCTTAAAAAGTCATCAGTGCTTAGCTGATACCATATGCATTTTATCAGAGCTATTCTGGGAGCTTCTCAGTTTATCTCTCAGTAGCATAACCTTGAACACTCCCAAAAGAAAGGAGTTTTTAAGTTAAGCACATGTTTCCATACACTTTTAAAACCTTAATTTATATAGTCTTTAACAATAAAATATACTGTAAAAAAAAAAACGTTTTGCTGAGAGTTACCAAAGCTTACTCCAGTAATTTAAGATATAAACTTGACAGAGAATTTAAGTGCTCTGTCTATTCCTGAAACCTATACCCCCCCGTGAACAAATTTATAAAAAATAGATTGTATCAGGATTATTAATGACCGATAAAACCTTTTTTACACCAGTAGAAACATGCTACTAACCTGATCTCTCAAAGTGCCTGCAAGAGTGGGCTAAGCCCAACGAAATCTTCTTGAACGACGTCCTTATCCCAAGTAAGATTTTTTAGACAATCCCAGCATGAGAATTGTAGAGCCTCTAATCATAAAAAACAAAACTACACGGTCTTGACAGTGTAGTTTTGTTTTTTTGCAATCCCTACACCCGAGGCGAGGCGGGGAATGCACGACTGCTCAGAAGTGCTAACATAGTTGTTTCACTTTATATACCCCAGCTCTGCTGACAGGTCTGCCTCATCATGTCAGTGCCAGTTCTGATTGGTTTCCTAAAAGAAAGTATCCCGTGAGAGGGGCTTCACTCTCTGTAACCATACACCACCTGTTGGTTTTGATTGACAATCCTAATTTTGGAGGCACAAAAGGGATTCAATAAGGAAACCTCAGCCGTTCCAAAGCTTTTGATTTATAATTCAATTTCATTTATAATGTGCGTTTTACAAGCCATTGCAAATTTCCTAAGTCACAATTTCAAGACAAAGAAAGTAATAAAGAAGCATTTTAGCAAAGCATATGAACAAGTCAGAAGTCATCATATCAGTGAGATTCAGCCTTACTTCCTTTCATTATAAAACACCCAAGAAGCTACCAAATGCATCTGTCAATCACCAGACTAAATAAGTATGCTGAGCTCAGATATGTGGCTGCAAACTATTAGAATACACTGTTTAAATTATTTTTCTTTGTAACTTTGAATTCTAAAATTGTATTTGGTAATGCATAGATTTGGCGTGCGGTTTTTTTGTTTCCTTCACAATTTTCTGTTGGATGGTCCAAGTAGCTAAGCTTAACAAACAGTAGCATACAATGTGCAGAAATACAAATGTGAAAGTAAAATTACAGAAAAATACTGTAATTCCTAAAAAACCCTGGATTTTAAACCCAACAGCTTTTTCTAGACCTGTATGGCCTTGTGAAGATGCCAGAGTTAGTCACCAATGGAATAGCACATCAGTTTGTGAACTTCCACTAGCCCAGCTTTGTCACTAATGTGCTAATTGTACCGTTGGAGTGGTTACTTCTGAAACAGACATCAGTTAGAAGACTACTCTTGTTTATGGCTGGAATGGGAGGTGTTTTACCACAACACCACATCTGCCTGTTTCCATTCCTGCCTTCTTATTCAAAAATCTTTTTCCTACTCTGTGAAGTGGAATATATGTAATGCATATCTAGAAAGCTCTAGACTGCTTATGTGCTTAAAATCAAGCATGTGCTTAGCTGGTTTGATAAGTGGAGGAGTTCAGTCTGATGTTACTAAGTTCTACGTTGAAAAGGATCTCCCTGAGGATACCTAGAGAAGTAAACACAGACTGGAGTTTTGTACTATCAGCTGCACTTGTGTTTCAAAACAACCTCTTAGCAGGAGATCCAGAAAATGCCAAGGAGAAAGAGAGTTCCAGCGCTGCAAGAGAGTATGAACACTATAGTTTGCAGATCTGAAAGAAACAAGAAATTACATATTGCTGTGATCTCATAAAATAATGTCACAAATTTGATCTGCCCTTTAATTTATCCATCCCATAAGATGGTGACTTCATGGCTGCTCTTGGGATGCAGCAGTATTAACAGCAACACAAACTGGAGAAATAGTTTCTACATTGATACTACTTGGACTCTCAGAGAGGTTGAAAGTTTAAGTTCTATGGCTCAGTTGTAACGTTTTCTTGCAAATAGATATCAGAGAGCCTAATCACTCTGTACAAGACTCAGTATGATAGCAAATGCAACTCTACACAATAAGGGGGAGGTCAAGTTAGCTTCTACTAGAAGACATAAAATGTCCAAGGAAAGTTGTGTAAAGAGTATAAAATTTCTAAGTCTAAACAGAGACCTGCTAAAACAGATGGCTGTTTTTCCTCTGTATTTAAACACCTAAATAGTCAGTGAAAAATCAAACTTGGATTAAAAACACAGGCTAGTATTTGTGAACTTAAAAAATGCAGCCACCTTAATGACAATGTCTAAGTCAAACAAACAATGAAAAAGTTTATGAACATGTAATAATTTCTAAATGGAAGAAATGTACAAACTGTCATTTATGAAGTTACGAGACGGTCAGAAGTTCAAATTTTTCTATTTCAATCAAGTCAACAATGACTGATAACAATAATAGAAAGTTACAAGGAAAAAATTTTGCTGCATTCAAATAAGTAAACCAAATATATTGTATTTTAAAAATTAAGTTCCTTTTTTATTTGAACTTTTACATTTGCTTTTATCTTTATTAAATCTATTTTCATTCCAACAAAAGTTCGTACCTTCTCAACTTTTTAGTCTGAATACAGAAATGATGGAATTGAAGAATGAAATATTTACCTTATGTCCTCAATTAAATATGAATTATTAATAATGTATGCCTTCTGTTATATTTATATCACATGATTTCTACATGTTTAGTGTCCTATAGTGTATCCGCAATAAAAAACTGAAGGATGACTTCAGTCCTATTATTGTGTAGCAAAGACACTGCTGGTAAAAATGACATTGTTTTTTTCTCCAGGTAGAAACAAAAGTCAGATCCAGACAATGACAAAGACTTTTTTTTTTTTCAGGTAGATATTTAAATTGGGGATAGTTATAAAAAATTCATAATTTGCTTCAGTCTGCTACTATTTGAAGTAGGAACTATATATTGCCCAAGTTACTATAATATATGTACTACATTGTAGGCCACAACACATTTAAGAATTAGCATGTGATCTTCAACACAGTGAAACATTGTGGTGTGGATACCTGCAATCTCTTTGTATGTGATACACTTTGATTAATTCTAATCATCCTAATGACTTCATGAATGGAGCTGCACAAAATAGGCCTGCATGAAGATGCTTTGAAAGCTGAAGACTAGTCAGCTGAAAGACAAAATTCGTTCTTTTTTGAACACTGAAAGCTCTACGAAGTGCTACATGTACTAAGTGCCACTTAGGCAAGTTTTTGATGTGCTTTTTTCAGTGGAATCTCCTAATATATTTTTTTAAAAAACTCATAATTTTTCCTTCATTATTTGTCAAACAGTAGTGGTGTACTACTACTAGTAGTGTACTGTGCTGTAGCTGCAC